TTTTTAAAGTTAGCAGAGTATCAGGTACAAACAAGAAAGCATGGGAGAACAGCTTAAGTCTCAATAGGCCACCCCTTCTCACAGTGACTAGCACTTTACATGTCAAGAATCACCCTGGAAGCATTTTGAGCAAGGGGGGGTATCTTTACTTACAGTTGTTCTCTATAGTTACAGTCAGTAGAAAAATGGGAAACATTAAGTCTCCACAAGTAGGAGAGATCCCGCCATGCTTCCTGCATTCTCAGATATCAGGAGAGAGAGAGAGAGACTAATAAGCAAAGGAAGCGAAACAAACGAAAAGAAGGGAGCAGGGCAAGTTAAAGACGGGGTGGGAAGAACTTTAGCAATAGCTTAGTAGGAAAGGAAAGGAAAATCCCTTTAGTTCCTAAAAGCCCTCCCCCTCCCACTGATAAACCAGTGTTAGAAAGCATGCAAGATTGTTTGCTATCTCAACAGAAACAACAATACTTTAAGATATGAAGATAACGCCATCTTACTAGTAGAAAGCAGACTTGAAATAACTTTTAACAAAAATTAAAGAAAGTATCAAAGTGAGACTGCAGTTGAAGATCAAGAAGACTAAAATGATGTATACAGAAGAATTACAGAACTTTGATGTTGAGAATAAAGATATTGAAACTATTAAAGATGTTGTATAACTTGGTTCAATCATCAATCCTAATGGATGGCAGCAAATAAATCATCAGGAGAATGAGACTTGAAGGGCAGCAATGAAGGAATTAGGAAACATCATCAAGTGTAAGGATGTCTCTGGAGACCAAGATCAACCACACACTTTCTGATTACCATCCACACACTTTCTGATTACCATCCGTAAAAGCTGGTCAGTAAAGAAAGCTGACAAGAAAAAAAAGATTAATTTTAAATATGGTGCTGGAGGAGAGCTTTGCAGATACCCTGGATTGCCAGGAAGACAAAAAAAGTGGGCCCTACATCAAATCAAGCCTGGATTATCTATTGAGGCAAAAATATTGAAACTGAGGCTAACATATTTTGGGCACATCATTAAAAGAGCAAGATTCTTCAGAAAAGACAATAATGCTTGGAAGGGTTGAACTTGAAAGCAGCAGGAAAACAGGAAGACAAGGTCCATTGACTCCCAAAAAGACCCACAGGCTTTAAGGAGGGCTGTTGAAGACTGAAAATTTTCTAGATCTGTCATAAGGTCACCATGAGTCGGAGGTGACTTGACAACATGTAACAACAATAGTCTTATCATTAAGAGATTAACATTAAGTCTTGAAGACTAATGGCTGTGGTTTGTATTAATGAGTCAGTCATACTAGGTAATGATTTTTTTCTTACTACCGACAAGTTTTTCTAACATTATTGTCTTTTCCAGTGAATCCTGTCTTCTTGTGATACACTTAAAGTAAGATAGACTCCATTTAGTCAATTCAGATTCTAGTCTATTGGTCAAAACACAATGCCAGGCTTCATTGTGACCTGAAGTGAGCCCTAAAGTTTCCCAACCTAATGTCACATTTAGGGATCTGGACACAAATACCATGGTGTTTAGCATAGCTCTTCAGCTTCCCAGCTAGGAGACTCTTGCAGAGAGCAGGCAGCATACAAGTCAAATGAATGAATGAATGAATGAATGAATGAATGAATGATCCCCTTGCCATACAATCTATTTTACCACCTGCACAGCTGGTTTTAAGAATAAGAATGCTCAGACTTTACTGGGCTATTTTACAGTTACTCCCTTAGGACTTTGTAGGCTTCTGCAAATGTTGTTGTTTCACCGCAGACTAATAGTTCCCCATTATGCATCCCTCTTACTGTACTGTATTTTGGTTACACAGGTGTCAACATTTGGAGACTGAGTTCACAATTAATATATGTCAGCATTATATCTGAACATGTGCAGAGTGCGCCTTTTTATGTTGCTCAGGTACCACTGCTGGCCCAACCCAAATGTAAAGCAAAACAGGACAGTGTACAAATCAGATAGGATTAGGAGGCAGGTGGTTTAAAGCCTCAGCATCGCTTGTATCACTTTCTTTTTGGAATTGAGCTCTGTAAATATGCTGAAGCAACAGTAAAAAGCAGTTGGGTGTTTCCCCCCCTTTCAGGTATATGTCATTGTGGGGGGGGCAGGAAGAAACTACAAAGATGGAGCAGATCTTTATATAGCCGGACAAATGAATGGTTCAGTGCTCCTGGACAAAAGGATGTTTCCACTGATTCACAGAAATTAGTTTTGTTCTGCCCATATCTGTGATCTGAGATGCTAAAGCCAAGCATTGGCAAGGAGAAATGCAATATGAGAACAAACAAGTTCTCAGAACAAGCAAGTTGTTGTAAGCTAATTTGTGGTTGCATTTCCCTTCCCCTATTTCAAATTAAGCAAGTATCTCCACCTAATTTCAGACTTCACTGAAACTAAAGCAGAAAAGAGATACAGGCTGGGAGGCAGGAATGGTATCTATGCTGACTAACCTGGCTATTGTTTTACAAAGCAATGTAAAGAAAGGGAAATTAAACAGATTGTGTTATGGTGATGAGACTCTATGGCTACTAGTACAACCAACCTATGGGTTTTAATTAAATATCTGAAGAAGGGAAGGGACATGTGATTTGTTTGATTTTCTGTGAGTTGCATGAAGATGTGTAAGACTGAAACATATCTGCCTCACATTACCCATTAGGATAATTTAAAAGGTATTTAAAATAATTTGCAAAATTGAACAACCATCCTTTCTTTTTTGAAGAGTTCAGCTTCAATAGGCTTGATTTGAAGTCCACTAATACTGCGTTGTATTTTACTCACTGGGTACCTGAACTTCCTAAAAACTGTGTGGCTGTAAACTGAATATATCCCAATTAAAAAACACACTGCTTGGTTTTTCAGCAGAAAAGCAGTTCGAAGTACAGTAATAGTTAGGATGGTAGTGTTAAGTCTACATGACCGCATCGTGTATCCTGTCATTCACTATAAACCCGGCAAACCGCGAAATAGTTCCACAACATTTCCAAGTAAAATTCATTCATTACAGCGAAATATAAAATCACCACGTGGTATAATGGGAATCGAATACAGTATTAATATGTCAGTTTTGTTTGAGCAGGCTGTAAATTGCGTGCGTCTAAAAGGATTTAAAGAAAACTCGCATCCGGTTCTATGCAGGTTTATTTGACAGTAAATTCCACTGGGACTCAGTGCAGATAGAACAGATAATTGTCATGTTTTATTGTTACACCAAAGTCTATTGTCGTAAAAAACTAATGCATTTTACTCAAACCCCAGACACAAACTCGTCTTTTCACTACTTCGTGAAGTTAATTGTATCAAACGGAACGAAGCACCCGATTAAATCAAACTGAAGAGCCCTGCCCCTGGGTTTTGTCAACCAAAAAAATTCCAAAAAGATTAGTTTAAGATCACGCCTTTTGAGAAACTTACTTAAACATTAACCCATACTAATGCAATTAGAAACTGCTAACAGATACCAATCATTCTCTAATTAGTTTTGTTGAGTACGTGTCAATCCGTACGGCCCTTTGGTTTTATTTCAGGATCATTCCGAGAGGTTTCTGAAAAATGCGAGTTCCCCCTCTCTGCCCGTTTTATTAATGGGGGAATCAAAGGTGAGATATTGTTAGTACAGACGATGTTAGATGTAAAAAGTGTTTCTATCACTCAACATGCCATGTCCAAATATTTAAAACCTCACTCTCCGTAATCTCAGTCTATGCTGTCGGGAGGCAGGTCCCTAGACCCCAGAATCGTATCGCTCCCTCATTTCGCTGCCCAAAATTGGGCACAAACCCTAATATCGATCTTTGGGGGTGGGGAAAGATATGTCGTTTTTAAGGGAGGAAGCTAAAATAAAACAAATAAGACCCTGTTCTTTTATCCGTGTCGATTTGCTACCTCCTCAGCTCAGATAAACAAAGCCTTACCAAAGCCCCCAGACCTTAACCGCTTCCCCTCATACTAGGAGGAGAAATACAGGCAAGATTAGATCGGAAAAGTGATCTGGACAGGAAACGGTCCGAACACTGCATGTTGCTACATGGGCCTGAAGTGGGACCAAAATCCTGTACAGTATTTCCCTCCATTCCAGGCTGCACAAAGGTAAACCCTTTGTAGGTGAAACAGGAAGGAATCTACCTGGCGATCTAAACTCTTAAAAATAAGATCTCTTTTAAACTTCTTAGTCCAGATTAATTCCACTGAGATCAATAGCTTTAATCCAATCTAAACGCATGAACTGCTGTCGCTGCCCGCAGTTTTTAGAGCAAGCAGACGGGCGACCACTGCGCACGCGTCAGAAACTGTAATATTCCCATAGGCAAAGGAACAGAAAACTACAGTTTTACGTAAGGGTCCGGTCAAACCAGAAGGGTGACAAAAATAATAATACTGCGCATGCCCGTCTATGTATCGTCTCTAGGCCAAAAAGTAGCTTCGAGTCCTGCGCATGCGTAGCTAAGGCGGGTTCGTCTCGGGTGGGGAAAAGTACGCCTGCGCATGGGAGGGCCTTGGCTGTCGGAAGGGGGACCCGCAAAAGAAGGGTACGCCGCGCAGGCGCAGTATGGCGGCCGAGTATGTGTGTATGTGAGAGTCTGACGGGTTCAAAATGGCGGCGGCTGCTTCTATGTGAGGGGAAGAGGCTGGGGGTGGCAAGGAGGGGACGAATGCTAGCGGCGGGCGGGAGCCGGTGGGTTGAGGGGTCGGGTAGAGCGGTCGTGGGTCGCTTGTTTAGGTCCCAAGAGCCGGCGCGACGGTGCCTCTTGGCCCAGTGGAGAGAGAGGCTCTGGTTGTGTCCCGGGGACTGTGAGGGCTGGAGGCTTTAGGGCTTATCTTGGCGTGCGAGTTTAGGATGAGATGGGGACCCTCGTATGGGGCCGGCTTTCGTGAGCTCGAGCGGAAGGGGAACGGGGTTGGGCTTGCTGAAGGCGTTTGAGGTAAACCAAGTGTACTAAGGTTTGAGTCTGAGGGGTGTGTGTCCATACTAGAAAAGCAAGTTGTGGGACTCCGAGGGTTGGAAGTATAGGTAAGACTGGTTTAGAAATGAGTGGATTCTAGAGGCTGATGAGCCAGAACAGTAACCAGGAGTTTATTTATTTAATACAGTAATTGGATGGACGTGGAAGGGACTTTATGTGCGGGGGGGGGGCAAGAGTTGGAGAGAGTTGCTTTTCTCTGTCAGGACTTAGTGGCCCTGGTTTATCTTACCGGAGGTTAGGTGAAGAGAATCTAGCTCTTAGGGCGCCCTTCCCCGCCCCTGAGTCTGGCCTTGCTGGGAGGAACTGAAGTATTGCAGGCTTTTTCCAGGACTCACCTGATGCCACCCCTTTTCCCCCTACATCACGATTGGGGTGCCCCTCCTATTTGAGGTGCTTATTACCCTTTGTAGATGCTAACTTTCTCCAGCCTTCGGTGTCAAAGACAAATCATCTTGGGAATTAACTAATATTCTGACGTTTTTTTCCTGCCCTAGAAAGGGGCAAAGAAAAACCAGAGACCTGGTAAGCTTTGACTTTATTTGTATTCTGTAGCTTTACAAATAGCATTTTATGTTGTTGTTTATTTTTTCAAGGAAAGTGTAATTGCTTCATTGCATTAATGTCATTGCAAACTTGGTGTGTTATTATGAACTTGAAATGGAGACAAAGCTTCTGCTGGTCCGAATTTGCACCTCCCTTTAGGTTGGGTGGTGTTGGGGTGGTATATGGAACACCAAATTGCTTCTTTTTCTTGATCATGGTATCTCCCCTGCCAGGTAAATATTATTTGTTGAACACTAACAAGATTTATATAGGTTGCTATTGGGCTGATAGTTATTTTGAGATAGATTTCTGACCCATTTTTGCAGCATTGGTACTACTTGAAACAGTAATGAAATCTCAATGTGCTAACATTAGCTTATTGTTTTTATATCTTGACAATTGAAGTTGGAATACCCTTAAGGTCACCCTTGCCACCTACTGAGAAATAGTAGCTGCTGGCTACCACCACAGCTTACCCACTGTTAAAATTGACTGAGTCTCCCTGTCTGTCTTCTTTGTGACTGATAATGCCAGGAATTTGTAATATTAGTCCTTGCACCCCTTTTGCGCCCCTTTTTCTCCTTTCTGCAAGATCAGTTGTTTCATTCCTGATGCATAGCCTTAACTGTATAATGAAGTGATTATGGCACATAGTTCTGACTGTGATATAATGCAGTAGTAGTGTGAATGAACTCAAACCTATAACAGGATAACTTGCAACCATATATTAGCTATGTTTTTCTGTCGAAAGTTCTGCTGTAGTTGGGGTCTTATGTATCTATGATGACTTGAGTGAACCTAAGCAAGAAGGTATTCGGTAGAGGTGTTTTTTTTAGATATCCTCAAAAGTATATAAACTACCAACGAAACACAGTTTGTTTTGGAAAAGTGCATGAAAATGTTGAGGGGGTACTATGTAGTAGGACACTGGCCTGACAAAATGTGACATCTAAGCCTTTGTTTTTATATGCTTCCTAGGAAAATTCCTATTGGCATTTTACTGGCTCAGTCAAACCTGTTTGTTTTTTAACTTCTTATCTTGTTTGAAGACATACAGTACATAGAATACATAGAATGTTCTGTATCACTGCCTAATGTATATAAATATGTCCCATGTGGGCAACTTTGTCTGGTTGAGGAACTAGTTTCACACTCCCTGGACTTTCCAGAGGCTACACAGATTGCTGAAAAAATTAATATGGACATGGATGGGTGTATTCTTTCAGTTTTGAAAATGGAGTATTTTGAGGTGTTAAATTGTGCAAGGGTTTTTTGTGACCATTGTAAAAGTTGAAGCCACTTCTCAAGTTTGCGAGGAGCTTTAACATAATTTTAAAGCTTTTTTAACTGAACACAGAGAGAGTTAGGACAGGGATGGGAGCTACTCAGATAGCTTGCAGGGGAGGGCACATGCAAGGCTGGGACAGCACTGTACCTAACCCAGCGTACATTGATATTTCCTAAACTTCAGACGTATTGCTTGATATTCAATTATACATAACCTGGGCATGATTCTGTAACGGAATGGGCAAACCAACATTTGTTTTGTACATTTTTGTAAGTGAACATAACCTAACTGAACTCTTTCTAGTCAATTAATAGCTATGGTACTGGCTCCAGATCAGTGGTAATGAATGAGTCTGTTTTTTTAAAAAATAAATTTATTTCATTAATTCATTGGATTTGTTGATTTTCCATTGTTGGTTCTTGGCTTTTATAGCACTTTTGATAGAAACAAGGAAATCAAAGATACATAGAGTGTAAATTTTTATAATGTGTTTTGGTTCCTTGTTCTTGCATCTTAAGGAGGAAGAGGAGGAAGATAGCAGTTCTGATATCACTTTTTCACTCTCATCAGAAGATTCTGAGATGGAGCCTGAAGAAGAACGAATTCGTTATAGCAAAAGACTGGTTAGTATGAACTTCCATTTCACTTGTATGCACTCGGGTGTACAGCATGCAATTTTCTGAACTTGTGAGGACTTTAGATCCACCCTAATCAATATAAAATAAAGTTTCACAGTTGTATTTAACAAGCTCGTTTTCACATATTTACTTTATAGCCAGTGGGACTAGTTAGATCCCCTTACTAAATAAAGAGGTGGATAGCCTGTGGTCCTCCAAATATTGTTGGGCTGCAAGTTGCCCCCCTGTTCTAGTATAATTAATACTTTGCTTATTATTGCTGGGGAGAGGGCATGGACCAGACTGTAGGAATTATATAAAAACTAGGTGTAGAAATAATAGTAGTTATTATGTAGGGTTGGGGTGGAGACAAAGAGTGTGAACAGAACAATTTATAGTATTGGATTTATCACTGAATGGAAATGCAGATTGTGGTATTCACAGTGATTTAATTGACTGCACAAGGTGAGTGTGTAACTTTGAAACTAAATATCTGCAATGTGTTTTGCATGGCATCCTTTAAAGATTCTTTACTGAGTAGTGTAGTGTACAGCAGCTCATTTCCTATCAAGAGTAAATTGTAGAGGACACACTACATCTAGTGCTCCAGTATTTGTCCAGACTGCCCTTTATATTTCGTGCTTAACATAGTTGCTTTGATATGTGAAATACTGAAAACAATGTTTTTTCCTTACTTTTCATTGTTCTTTAAATCAGTTCAAAAATATCTCTTGACTATAGGAGTCAATTGGAAAAGTTAAATAAGAAGGTAAACAAAACAAAACTTTGAGGCTACATAGAGCTGTAAAAATATCCTTTCCCTGGGAATTCACAAAGTCTGACTACAAATCATTTTCTGATTTATTGGATAACATTTTAGCTATATTCAAGACAGTAGGGATGACTTAATTTTGCAATAGCCTTTTGGCACAGATATTTTATTTAGGATGGATTGAAATGTTAATTCCTTGTTCTGCAGTCCTAAGATGGGACTTAGAAATCAAATTATCTGACTACTAGTCTGTCATAGAACATTTTAGTAAGGAAGTGTATGTTCAATAGTCTAGTTAGTCATGGTTGTCAGTAGCAAGGTAGATTGGTGATATTTTGCTCCTTAAGTGAAGTTGAGAAATGAGGTTGGAAATGGTTGTGTTTGGAGGAGTGTAAAATGAGCAGAGCTTTCACAGAAAGAAAATTAAAAGGTGATAGAAGAAATGGTTTTGTTGTTTAGTCGTTAAGTCGTGTCTGACTTTGTGACCCCATGGACCAGAGCATGCCAGGGCCTCCTGTCTTTCACTGCTTCCTGGAGTTTGGTCAAATTCATGTTGGTAGCTTTGATGACACTGTCCAATCATCTCGTCCTCTGTAGTTCCTTTCTCCTCTTGCTTTCACATTTTCCCAACATCAGGGTCTTTTCCAGGGAGTCTTCTCTTCCCATGAAATGGCCGAAGTATTGGAGCCTCAGCTTCAGGACCTGTCCTTCCAGTGAGCACTCAGAGTTGATTTCCTTCAGAATGGATAGGTTTGATCTCCTTGCAGTCCAGGGGACTCTCAAGAGTCTCCTCCAACACCACAATTCAAAAGCATCAATTCTTTGGTGGTCAGCCTTCTTTACAGTCCAGCTCTCACTTCCATACATTGCTGCTGGAAAAGCCATAGCTTTGACTATGTGGACCTTTTTCGGCAAGGTGATGTCTCTGCTTTTTAAGATGCT